CTATGGATGCTCCAGCCCCGGAGCACCCACAGAGTCGGCGCCTATGCTGTGCACAAGTGTATAAGTAGCATTTTACATTTGGGAAATGTCTTGCTAAGGTCACAAAGTTAGTTGCAAAGCCAGAAGTAAAACTCAGGTCTCTGTGGTCAGACGCTCCCTCACATCCATGTTGTGGCCAACTTGGATGAGAAAAGGGGAAGATGCTATCAGCCTGATTCTCCATTGCCCTGTGTGTTGTGAGGTCACTTACACCAGTGCAAACTGGGTATAAAATGCTACCATATCACAACAGTAGTGTTTCACACTTTGCACTGGTGTAGATGACTTCACAAGGGGCAGGGTAATGGGGAATCAGGCCCTACGGCTTTGTTAATTTTTAACTTACCTGTTTCCAACTTGGGAAGTGCTCAGCACCACCACAGCCTACCCCTTCTCTCCTTTTTTAACTTTCAAAGTTGTAGTTTCAAAAGCTTTGAAAGTGGCTGTGGGGGTTTTACCTGCTGCGCTCAGCTCTTGTTCAAGAGGAGGATTCCTGCCTGCAGCCTGACAGTCTTGCTTTCTTGCAGCTAAGGTCCTGTGTAAACATGGACCGAGCCACAGAATTTGCATCGGGCTTCAAACTTACCTAAAGATATGGCATGCATGAATCCAAGATCTTGGTTTGGCCCATTGTAAAAATAGGGACTAGTCATGAGGTGCAGATCCCCATCCTAATTTCCCCATCACTCACTGATGTCAAGATCTGGAATTCGGGCTCAACTGAATTCTAGCCCTATTGAATTAGGAATGCTTAACAGAAAGATGTGTTAGCATAAAGTCACTTTTATAGTACAGTCTCAGTGAATTAGACCAAACAGAAAAAATGGTAGGGGGCCGATGTAAGGCTGCATAAATATCTGGAGGGTTCCACAAACATCTCAGGCCAGTGGTTTTGTAGAGTGTTCAGGGCACTTAGAATTGATTTTCTCTTCAGTGAATCCACAAATTTCAATAGAAGAAAAGACTATGGGACTAGTACTTACGTTTCAGAATGGCTTTTTGTCTTTACCTTCAAATAACCTCTTGCGTAGACTCTCTAGGCATGTTTCTAATCACTGGTTTGCTTTATACTGACTCCAAGGCCCATCAGATGCAGCCCAGATGGAGAGAAGACTGCCTTTATAAGCTTTTGGCACAAGGCCAGAAGTTTAGTCTAATTTTCTTGTCCTAAAGCCATCAATGCATTCACGAACCTTGATGTGACATACCTACTGCACAATAATACAAATGATTATTAATAATAATAATGCCTCCTGCCTTTTATGTCTTTGGGAACCTTATGCCTTCAGCAATACATTTAGTTGTTTTAGTGGAACATCTTATAGTGTTTTGCGCTGTTTTATGTAACTTTACCTACATTTTTTTTTTTTTGGAAGGAAAATAAAGTTCACCCTTGGCACTGAGCAAAAAATAAATAAATAAAACTAAAAGCTTCCAGGTTTCTATAAATACTTTTCTCTTTGATCTTCTATACCAGTTCAGATGCTTGGGTTAGGATTCTTCCCAATAAGCAGATGAACACAGAACAGTAAAGGCCTGGTTTTCATTTGCATGGTGGTCCTGCTAGACTACTTTTGGCAGTGTAAAGGGGCTTTAAAGTGAGTGTATATAACGGGGCCATTGTGTAAATGAGAATCGGGATCTGTAACTTTGAGGGTGTCTCTTCCCACTCATATGAGCAGGGCCGGCTCCAGACACCAGCTTAACAAGCAGGTGCTTGGGGCAGCCAAGGGAGAGGGGTGGCACCTGCGGCAATTCGGGGGCAGCAGGTCCCTCACTCCCTCTGCCGCTGAACTGCCGCCACCGATCGCGGCTTTTTTTTTTTTTGCTTGGGGTGGCAGAAATGCTGGAGCCGGCCCTGCATATGAGAGTCAAGCCATCTCTCAGCTTTCAGGTGTTTCTCTCTCCAGCAGGCAAAGAATACTCACCCTAGAAGGCTGCTGCTGGAGGAGAGCAGGCCTCTGAGGCGAAACAGAAGCCCTGTGGCACACACCCTGTGCAGCTGCCCTAACAGCACACATAAGGCCCTCAGTCCCTCATCCAGTGCCCCACCTCATTATCCCAGAAAAGAAACCAGGGCCAGGTGGGGCCATCCTCCAAATCAGCCACGCATTGCTAAACCCCAGGACCGGCTCCAGGGTTTTTGCCTCCCCAAGCGGCCGGGGGGGGGAAAGCCACGATCGCAGTTGCGATCGGCGGCACTCCGGCGGCAGCTCCACCACGCCGCTTTCTTCTTCAGCGGGAATTCAGCGGCAGGTGCTTCCCTCCGAGAGGGACCCGCCACCGAATTGCAGCCGAACAGCCTGACGTGCCGTCCCAAGCACCTGCTTGCTGGGCTGATGCCTGGAGCCGGCCCAGCTAAACCCTTCCACCTAAGGGATGGCTCAGACTCAGAAGTGCTGAGTGGGAAGGGTCTCCGTGCAGAGAGCCATGACAAGCTAGAAAGTCCTAGAAAGGTCCCACTGTCCTTCAAAGGACTCTGCCCCATTAAAGGAGAAGGGGTTCAGGAGCTCCCAGCCAGATTCCTACACTGAGGATTGCAATGGCTCTAGCCATCAGACTAAGGAAGTACAGCCCTCCTTCTGCTTCAAAGACTTGACCCCTTCCTTGAGGAGAAACAGATGTCCCAGAAAAGGACACAAACAGGGCAGCAAATCCCCTGTGCCCCCACCCACCCACATGCATCAAGCCTCTGCCAAATACCATCAGCATTTGCCAGCACGATACTGAGTCATGGCTGCAGGAAAGAGTTGAGGTTTAAAACTGGTAACAAAGAGAATTAATGTTGTTGAGCAGTGTCATGCTGTATTTTTTTTTAAAGTAATTTAGAATTAAATCACATCACATTGTTCGGTCATTTTTGTTGTTTGCAGGGAGCAGCTGCGGATGATGGCAGATTGAAGCGCGGCGATCAGATTTTAGCAGTTAATGGAGAAGCTTTGGAAGGTGTTACTCATGAGCAAGCTGTAGCTATTCTGAAATGCCAGAAAGGATCTGTAATATTAACAGTGTTATCATGAATCTCATTGCACACGTGGAGATGAATGCAATTATTTTAAAACATCGTAGAGCTGCTATAATAATGTACAGTCCTGAGTGAGATGAAAAACAAACTCCAGATAAGATTAGTATATTCTAATCCTATTGCCTCTATTGTTTCATTTAGTCATATAAATGAAGCTTATTGGTCAGTGATTTTTCTACTTCTTTAATATCTTGTGGCTTCTGTTTCCTCTCAACAAGGTTAACTTAGAAAACTTTAATGAACTGTATGTGTTTTACTTTAGTTAAACATCAGTTTATCCCCACCAATGGGAAATCCCTGTTACAATTGCTGAAACTGGAATTAACGCGCGCACACAAAAGAGAATTTAGATCATCATCTGATGAGCAGAAATAAATGCTAAGTGATTTGTCATCTCACTCATTATTTACTTATGCTAATTGTCCTTTCAAGTATGCCAGAAAACATTAATAATGTAATTAAATTACCACAGTTCCAAATATCCGATTCTTCTCTGGGAAAGTGTTTGTGCTCTGCACAGTAAGTTTGACAGTCAATGCTAACTTTTCATATTTATCACTCTGGATAGGTCCATGCCAGTTAGTGATTATTATTATAAATAATAAATAAAATAAATAAATTAATGGAGATATCCTATCTCCTAGAACTGGAAGGGACCTTGAAAGGTCATCGAGTCCAGCCCCCTGCCTTCACTAGCAGGACCAAGTACTGATTTTGCCCCAGATCCCTAAGTGGCCCCCTCAAGGATTGAACTCACAACTCTGGGTTTAACAGGCCCATGCTCAAACCACTGAGCTCCCCCCCCCCCACTCATTATTGTGATGAGTCAATTTGCAGCCTTTAACATTTAAAAAAAAAACTGGGGGGAGGGGCCTGTTTTTTCAGGTCTTTCAAAATCGCCCTAACAGTGTTTTAAGATCTAGATGTGGCATGAGCAACATGTCTTATTCTGTTCTAATTAATTTTTTATTGAAAAAGAAACGTTCTGAAATGACCAAGATGCTCAGTACATGCATTTGTAATTGTGCTGAATTGCAGTACCAGTGTCCACAGTTAGACTTCTAAGAAGGCCAGAGTTTGCCTCCATAATGTGGCACTATAATTCAGCTAATGTGAATGCTAGTAAATTGTGATTCCCACTAGCGCTGAGGGCTAAATGAAGGCAGATTGAACCATTTTGCAAGTTTCCAAAAGTCTGCATGGTGTCAGCTGGTGTGGGAAAGGGACCTTTACTTATCAGAAACTACCACCCATCCAGTATCCTGGGCTTCAGATTGCTAGAACCTAGTTTTGTGCAATGCCACTAAGAGATTTAGCAAGTGAACTTGTAAAGCAAATAAGTGGTAATGCAAGTCCATGCAGTTTAATCTTTCTAACTTTGTGGAGACTGGTGACATGCAGAAAGCACCTTAGTATGATGTAGGGCTAAGAGGGCTAATTTTTAATTATGATAATGATACAGCAAGGAAAAGTGAATTAAAAAAAAGGAAAAGTATTGAAATCGGCAGCTGATTTAATTATCAATTGTGTATGAGACCTTCCTATCGGTAAATGAAACCAGGCTTCCTTTCGAAATCCTATAATTACTGTTCTTCAGTATGTTTTAGCTAAAATGTGATATTATTCTCCTGACTGTATAAAGAAAAGTATATTGAAGTGAGGTTAAAAGTGATAAAGTAGTAAGCATAGCAGAAGTGATGAGCTCTCATTAAGAATGTTGTTTTCCTTATCTCATTTAAAAATTATCTCTAAATATAACAAATCACAAAGTGCATTAACTTGTTGGAATATTTTATGGGTATTCCATAAATAGTGCCTGAAAGAGACTTATGTTTTTAAATGGATTTTATTTCCATTGTGCTGGTTGATTTATTAATATGAAGTGTTAGAGGAATCTTGTTTATAGATGCACATCAAACGTCCAGAGGTACCGAATTGAAGAACTTTTAACTACCCACCTTTGGTTTCCAGAACATCCAAGTATGCAGAAGCTAAATGCACCTAGATAACCCTTTAAGATGCACCTTGATAAAACAATGTTGCAAGGTTATGACCAAAATCTAATGACTATTCTGATCAAATAACCCCATTACATGCATACTTGAAAATATTGCAACATTATTCTATTAAAATTTACATGGCCATTTGTCATCTCTTATGCACATATGGTTGATATAAAAAATATAGAATTTATGGGCTGAGATTTTGCACTTCTTATTGTTCAGATTTGAGATAATATTACTGCTTCTTGTAACTTGCACTTTTTCTGTGTGCTGAGTATGTTACTGCCAAAAATTGCATTGCAACTACTTAATAAACCAGTGAACATGTGGGGAAGGCAAGTACAGTATTTAAAGGACCAATTCTAGAATTAAATTTCAATTATGCTTGTCTGGGTCGAAGTGTTCTGGTTTGTTAAAATTGTTATCTACGTCTGTGCAAGGGGAAAAAACAATGGAACTTACTGATAGTATGTTTATGTATATCAGTAAAATAAGAGATTTTATTATTTCCAAAGATTCTAAATAAAGTTCAGCTACTAAGAAGTTGTGCATATTTTTTTTATTTTTTGTACTTTTAAAAAATTTCGCTTCAAGTCCATATTATGGTAAATTTTATCCCAGGGTGTAATGTTTGCTATTGACAGTAATGAGCCTCACTTACTTTCCAGTAGGAGTATGAACATCCGTACCTATGGGACTGATCAGAGAATGTTTTGACAGGCAGTTGAGTCCATCCCCCCCAGCCAGGGCCGGTGCAAGGAAGTTTCGCACCCGAGGCGAAACTTCCACCTTGCGCCCCCCCACCCCCAGCCCTGCGGCAGCTCCCTGCCCCCCCCCCCGCCCTGAGGCTCCCCTCACCCCCCCCCCGCGCGGCAGCTCCCCACCCCAGCTCACCTCTGCTCTGCCTCCTCCCCGAGCACGCCGCCCCCGCTCTAATTTTCCTCCCCTCCCAGGCTTGTGGCGCCAAACAGCTGATTGGCGCCGCAAGCCTGGGAGGCGGGAGAAGTGGAGCGGAGACCACGCGCTCGGGGGAGGGGGCGTAGGAACGCTGTAAAAAAAAAATGGCACCGCTTTTTGGTGCCCCCAAATCTTGGCGCCCTAGACAACCACCTAGTTTGTCTTAATGGTAGCACCGGCCCTGCCCCCAGCCAATCAGATTGCTTTTGGACTGAAACTTTGGGAGCAAAATATCTTGTGCACATCCATACTCCTTTAAAACACTAATTCCTCTGATGCAAACTATTCTAGGATGTTAACCAATTCGTTTTAAGCAGGGAAGCACCAACAAAGCAATCAGGTTGGGAATACTGGGATCCAGAGTAGTTAACAGAGTTGGGAGGGAGGGAAGTGTGAATGGAAAACAGGGTGGCCGTAGCGGCAGGATATGTCAGGGTCGAAGTGGTTGATCAGCAGAAGAGCAAATTTGGCTGTAGGAAGTCTGGTTGCAGGAATTTTGCAAAAGCTTTTGGTAGTACTGCTCCCCACAGCCCCAAACCAATCCAAGGTCTTCTCCAAAAGACCCATGGCAGTGGATTGAAGATCCTCATTTGTCCATGTTTTTTATTTTCATAAAGGTCATGGTTTATTCACAGTTCCCTCTATAGCTTCCCCAGGCAGCCAGAGGAGTTGTAGGAGGAATGGTAAATAATTTGTGATCTGCATGACACAATCAGTGGCAGTCAGTAATTCTATTTATACTTTCTAGACTATCACCACAAAGAAAAGGGCAAGAGACTGACTCTGTATTATAAATAAAGGCTAGGATCCTCCCTTATATTTCTACTTCCCCCAATCCAGGGCAGGTATGCTTGCCAGGCCCCAAAGGAGCAAAAGATCTTGGGCTCTATCCCCTTTGTAGTTGTCAATGCCTCTGTGACCCTACAGCTCAGTATAAAATGATGTTCTTGCAACCACACACTCATGACACTAGTTTAAAGTCTACTTCCAGACACTAGGTTAACTGGGAATAATAAAAGGATTGTGTCAGATTATTCTTTACTTGAGGAAGAGCTGGAATGCCACTAAATACCTCGTAATTAATCAAATGGTGATTACAACCATGGAAGTGTCACATAGAGAGCCTATTGAGGTAATATGATTATGTTGAGATGGAGCAGTTGTTATACCTTCGCCTGAAAGGACTGGAATGAATTAATTTAACATTACACCTGTATAAAACTGAGCATTGGTGTATAATTCCATTATCATCTTTCTCCACAGTTTCACACTTCGTATCCATAATTTAGCTGCATGTACACTCTATTTAAAACACGGTCTTATTCATAACTGAGAAAACAATGACTATTTTGTTCTCTGATATTATGGACAATCCTGTGATATCCAGATCCTTTAAGAGAAAGACAAATCAGATCTTTTCACTGTACTGTAATGCTCTAAGCGTAAAAGGAACAAGGATCTTTTTCACTGTCTTAGACCTTGTCTAAAGACACGAGTTCTATATATAGTTTTAATATAATGTAATACTGGTATATTATTAACTCTTTGTGTGATAACGCCTAGAAGCCCTAGTTATGGACAAGGACCTCTTTGTCCTCGGCATTGTGCAAACACAGAACAAAAAGACAGTCTCTGCCCCCAAAAACTTACAATCTAAATAGCTGCAGCAATACGAGCCTTAGTGTATTACACCTCTACCTCGATATAACGCTGTCCTCGGGAGCCAAAAAAAATCTTACCTCATTATAGGTGAAACCGCGTTATATGGAACTTGCTTTGATCCACTGGAGTGCGCCGCCTCCCCCCACCCCCACCCCCCGGAGCACTGCTTTACCGCGTTATATCTGAATTCGTGTTCTATCAGGTCGCGTTATATCGAGGTAGAGGTGTACTATAAAAGTGTTTAATATCAGTATAGTTTATTCCCATGCAGGGAGGCACATTTATTATCGATAAAATTGCCTCCACATGCAGGGTTTTACTGGTATAAATATATTGGTTAAAAAAAACACACACCCCTCCAAAATAGTTACACCAATCAAAATTTGTGTGTAAACCAATGCAACTCATCTAGAGGTGCATTAGGTAGAATAAAATACACACACAGACAGACCAGAGTTCACACTTTACACAGAAACCATATTTCTTACCAGAGCTGCGGTCACTTACATAGTCTCCTCAGCAAACTGCCACAGGGTGGAGCTGGAGAAGATCATTCTCATACAGTCTTATGATTTCCCTCCCCCCAGCCGGGGTTCCAAAAGGAAATTAACTCTTTTCTTTGTGAATGTGTCATCCTTCCAATCCTGCAAAACTGTCTCTTAGTATCTTAGATTTCCTTTTCTGCAGTTTGAGATGTACTGTATGAAAGGCTGTGTGTTGGAAATAAATGACAGCATGACCATGAGAAGCTCAAACTTTCTTCTGACATTGTGGGAAATCCTCCTTGGAGGGTGTTAGCTTGAACTATATAACGTAAGATTCTTTATTAAAGGCAATAAATGTTAGAAATCACAAAACATAAAGTCACCCCTCTGGCCAGTGACAGCAGATCATGGGTTGGTTTCCGGCTGAAAGAGAATCAATTACATGGCGTCTGGGTATTTTCTTACTGTAACTCAGTTATTTACAATCTGTGAACAAAGATGCTCACAAACATCAGAGGTATACTCCTCTTTCTAAAATGTCATCCCAAACAGTGATGGCACGAGCAGACTAAACAATTGCTTAGGGCTCCAAGCAGCTCAAGAGGACCTGATTTAGTATTACCTGCAAAATGCTGTTCATCTTATTTAACATGGACTTTGTAACCCATGTATTAGTGTGTGTTGCATTGGCCTATTTTTTGTTTTTGTGGAAATAATGCAATTAGTATTTTTAAAGGTTGGGCGAGGAGCAAAGGGAACCTTCAAAAATATTCCTCCTTAGGATCCCTGATGGGCTACCACTGCCCCTGATCCCAAACACCTAGGAGCAACTCTTCCCTGAGAATTAACTGTAGTTAGAGAGATTAAGGCAGAGAGAAAACTCCCACTGCTTGCAACAGCTCCTCTTAACAAAAAAAAATATGTTGTATAACAAAGCAACAATGCAGGAAAAGGAGCTTGTAAGACTGTAACAGCACCATCTGGTGACGCCTACCATAGCAACAGTGAGCATGCCAACACTCCTGATTTTTGCAGGAATTAGGGAAGGGATTTTGCCAGGGGCTGGAGCCAGTCTCTAAATAAGGCCAAGAGTACCAGCCCTTAGAGAATTTGAGCCCTGGCTGTCTGCCCCACTTGCCTGCCTCCTGAGACAGAATACCCAATCAGTGCTGCAGCTGGCAGAGCTCGCTCTCTTCCTCCCCTTCCTCCCCGCTCTTGCCCCAAGAAACCTGAAGCTATTCTCACAGGAGGAGAGCAGGGAGCTGAAAAACCCAGCTGCTCAGGGTGGATCTCACTCCTCTCCTGTGAGGAAGGGGGACAGAGGTCTCTGACCCTCTCCGGTCCCTGCCTGCAGCCCGGCCTGGGAAGGTGAAGAGCCCTGGAGCTGCTCCGCCCAGGAGGAGCAGAGGTGAGACTGGGGAGTAATTTGGGAGAGTGAGCAGCACTGATGTCTCTCTCTCTCTGACCAGAGGGAGGTCAAAAGACAGACCTTACCTCCCCCCCACACACAAAATACAACCTTTTTCTTTTCCCTCATGATTTTGAATCTCTGGAGGTTGGCAGTCCTGTGGTTCTTTTCTCACATCCGCTGAGTAAGGTTGCCATGTGTCTGGTTTTCGACCAGGCCGTTAACAGTCCAGTTGGCGGTGCTGCGGATTTAAGACGGGCTAGTTCCCTACCTGTCCTGGCACCGCGCTGCGCCCTGGAAGCAGCCGGCAAGTCCAGATCCTAGACGGGGGACCATGGGGCTCCGTGCGCTGCCCCCGCCCCAAGCACTTGCTCTGCACTTCCATTGGCTGGGAACCGTGTCCAATGGGAGCTGGGGGAGGGGTGCCTGCGGGTGAGAGCAGCGCGCACAGAGCCAGAACAGGCAGGGAGCCTGTCTTAGCCCTGCTGTGCCGTTGACCAGGAGCCACCCGAGGTAAGCCCGGGCCCCAAACCCCTCATCCCTGGCCCTACTCCAGAGTCTGCATCTCCAGCCCAGAGCCCTCACCCTTTTCCACACCCCAACCCCCTGCCTCAACCTGCAATCCCCTCCCGCACTCTGACTCCCTCAGCCTGGAGCCTCCTCCTGCACCCCGAACTCCTCATCCTTGGCCGTACCCCAGCCCAGAGACCATACCCGGATCCCCTGCCTCAACCCGCAGCACCCTCCCGCATTCTGAATACCTTGGTCCCAGCCCGGAGCCCCTCCTACACCCCAAACCCCTCATCCCCGGAGCCCTCACCCTCACCCACTCCCACACCCCCAACCCAGAGCCCCCTACCTCACCCTGAACCCCTCATTTCTGGCCCCACCCCAGACCCTGCATCCCCAGTTAGAGCCCTCACCCCCTCCCGCACCCTAACTCCCTTCCCCAGCCCAGTGAAAGTGAGTGAGGGTTGAGGAGAGCGAGCCACCGAGGGAAGGGGAATGTAGTGAGCGGGGGTGGGGCCTCG